CCTGACCAATCGGGAAGCCGGTCATTGCACGCTACCCGGCTTCCTGATTGGCCGGGAAGTCGGCTCCATGCTCTCTCATCACAAGTGACGAGAGAGCATGGAGCCGTTTCCTGGCCTATCAGGAAACCGGGCAGCGTGTAATGATGCGCTGCCCGGCTCCCTGATACAGGAAGTACTCGTGCTAGGTATCGGAGCATTTGGGCGAGTACGAGTACTCGCCCAAATACTCGGAATCGGCACCGATATCGATACTAGTATCGGTATCTGTGCATCCCTATAAAGTACACACTTATTCAGGGCTGTAACGCATTATGACATAACAGACCAGGTATAGCTAGTGGTCAGTCACATTCAACTGGACTTGTTCTGTTGAAGATGTTTTTTTTAGCCTATCCAAGCCATTTCTTCAGTTCTGATGAGTGACACTGATCAAAAAAGGGAAAAAAAAATTGATACAAAGTAAAAAATAATAAAATCAAAATGTAAAAAAAAGTAAAAGATAATAAGATAACAAATTAAAGTAGAAAAATAAAAACCAACCCTGCCACCCCCTGAGAGTAAATCTGGCCCTGGTGACTGGTCTTGTCTCCGCCCCCTCTTGTAGTTTTCTGTAGGCAGCCTGTAGATGGTTGGGCCTGCTGGGTCAATTCCACAGCTCTGCTCTCTGCTCAGGATATGTGCAGCAGTGATGATGTCACCTCTACTTTTACATGGTTCATTCTGGGTTTGTACAGACATTTGGGGGGGTGCTAAGGACTATGATGTGAAGAGGGGACTGATGTGAAGTGGGGCTGAGGACACTGATGTGAAGAGGGGACTGAGGACTCTGATGTGAAGAGGGGACTGAGGACTCTGATGTGAAGGGGGACTGAGGACTCTGATGTGAAGAGAGGACTGAGGACTTTCATGTGAAAGAGGGACTGAGGACTCTGCTGTGAAGGGGGACCTGAGGACACTGATGTTAAGGGGGACCTGAGGACACTGATGTGAAGGGGGACCTGAGGACACTGATGTGAAGGGGGACTGATGACTCTGATGTGAAGGGGGGACTGATGATTTTGATGTGAAGGGGGGTGGCTGAGGACTTTGATGTGAAGAGGGGACTGAGGACCCTGATGTGAAGAGGGGCCTGAGGACTCTGATGTGAAGAGGGGACAGAGGACTCTGTTGTGAAGGAGGGACTGAGGACTCTAATGTGAGGGAGCGACTGAGGACTCTGATGTGAAGGGGGGTGGCTGAGGACTTTGATGTGAAGAGGGGACTGAGGACCCTGATGTGAAGAGGGGACTGAGAACTCTGAGGTGAAGGAGGGACTGGGACTCTGAGGATTCTGATGTGAGGGAGCGACTGAGGAATCTAATGTGAAGGGGGGACTGAGGACTCTGATGTGAAGGGGGGACCGAGGACTCTGATGTGAAGGGGGAACCGAGGACTCTGATGTGAAGAGGGAACCGAGGACTCTGATGTGAAGGAGGGGCCGAGGACTCTGATGTGAAGGGGGGACTGAGGACTTTGATGTGAAGGGGGGACTGAGGACTTTGATGTGAAGGGGGGGGGTGGCTAAGGACTTTGATGTGAAGAGGGGACTGAGGACCCTGATGTGAAGAGGGGACTGAGAACTCTGAGGTGAAGGAGGGACTGAGGACTCTGATGTGAAGGAGGGACCGAGGACACTGATGTGAAGGAGGGACCGAGGACTCTGATGTGAAGGAGGGACGGAGGACTCTGATGTGAAGGGGGGACGGAGGACTCTGATGTGAAGGGGGGACCGAGGACTCTGATGTGAAGGGGGACTTAAGGACACTGATGTAAAGGGGGACCTGAGGACACTGATGTGAAGGGGGACTGAGGACTCTGATGTGAAGGGGGACCTGAGGACACTGATGTGAAGGAGGGACTGACGATTCTGATGTGAAGGAGGGACTGAGGACTCTAATGTGAGGGAGCGACTGAGGACTCTGATGTGAAGGGGGGACTGAGGATTCTGATGTGAGGGAGCGATTGAGGAATCTAATGTGAAGGGGGGACTGAGGACTCTGATGTGAAGGGGGGACTGAGGACTCTGATGTGA